AACTCTGCGGCTTGGGTATGCAAGGTTTCAAAGTTCACATCAGCAAAGTGTTGCTCATCCTCCAATGAGAGCATTCCGACCAATAAAAGCCAAATTGTTGCACCATACTCGTCTTTCTATTTTATGAGACTTTTTGTACTATGCATAGATAAAAGCATTCCAGTTGATCATCGATAATCAACTTGTTACAAACGACTGCGATTATTGAATCTCTCGAAGGTAGCCTATTTGGACAAGTGGTTAGCAGCAGCACCACTAAAGTTAACTAACGACATGAGCTTGTTTGACTGTGCCTAAAAGTAACTTTAACAGTTACATTTCCTTAACACTACATATTTCGGTATCTTTCTCCCTATACTCGAGATGAATTCCAACATTGGTCAACTGTGATCCCAGTTATTATTATCAGAGTTCATAAGCTGGGAATCGAGCATTACTGGGTTGAATCATGTCGAGAAAAAGATAAGCCATTCCCCCGACACCTTCGAAAAGTGAAAATGGAGCATCTCCTCCATGCATTTCACCACTCGACATAAGCATGTGAGCTCTATCAAGTAAAAAGCAGGCAAAAGCTTTGGCTCTATACAGATACTCGACAATGCCAGTCAGTCGATAAAGAGAGAGGAACACATACGCATTGCCACTAATGCCATGACAAATCCCAACTCGTTTAAGAAGGCCACGATTCCATACAACCTCTGCTGCATTCATGGCAGCTTCCAGAAATTCTTTATCTCCAAAAACCTAATCATTGAAATTTTGAGGAATTTGTTAGCAACACAATTAACTAATACATTACATGGAGAAAAAAGAAAAACAAATGCGCCGCCAAAATTCAGTTAAGTGAGATAATGAAACTACAAGATTTCAGCAGCGGAGCTTCACTGTTTTGTTGCATCACAATGCCAATGCAGAATGAACAATATTTACTAACATCAATGAACATTATGAACTCATAGATATTATGATTTTTGGTTCAATAAAGCTTTGCACCTTCCGAGGCACTTGGTTACAAGGAAAATATGATTCTGCAAAAATGTTACAAAGTTCAGTACGTGAAAAGTGAGAAATTAAGCTAATAATTTGGACAAGAATGAAAAAGTGACGTTTAGCCGCTCTTAACAAATTCTTGTTAATTGACATATCCAATACATTTAGAATCAACAAATCCATCAATGAAATTCATCCCTCTACCTCCATACTAAAAAGTTTATAATCAGAAGATACACAAAGCTGTTAAATGGAATAAAAGATCCATAGAAGCCCAAGAAAAAAATGCAAGTACATGACTAAAGACTACTACTTCATCAAAAAGTAGTGTCAGCCATGGTAGGGATGGCAATGGGCGGGGTGGCACTCCTCATCGCCCCCACCCCTTCAAGGATTTTTGGGAGGCCAGGGATAGTATTAAAATATCCCTATTTAATAATTTTTTTTACCTTTTAAATACTATTTGATTTAAAAACATGAAAATAAAATAAAAAATAAGATTTGGGGTGGGTTTGGGGGGAGGGACCAAGATCCTTGTTCCCTCTCGATTCCCATGCATGACAGGGCCGGGTAGTGAGGGGCGAGGTATTTTCCATACCTAAGCCACTGTCAAATTATATAGGCAACTAAATTTGCACTGAAGTGGTAGCATTACCTCAGCTGCTTTGACAAGAGTGAGGGCAATCCCAGGAGCTCCATGACACCAATGGACAAGAACGTCTCTCTTCCTATCTTCTTCACTAGCAGGGTAGTTCCCACCAGGAAATCGATTCTTGATCATGTATTTAAGAGTTCCCCTGACATCTTCACGTTCATCTGGTCTTAATTCAAAATCCATCAAAATATGCATGATTCCTGCCAATCCATGAGCCGCTCCCCAATACTTCTCACCATACCATTCAAACATCAATGGACATCCACCCTTTCCACCCAGTTTTCTTCCGCTATTCAGAATTTCCATCACAACAGAACCCTGATACACATTCAAGAATGATCTCATTCAGTCAAAAAGTTTCAGCATTTTACGTCACTAGAACAGTGACGATGATGATAATTTCTACAAAAATCTTACCATGGAGGAGGAAGGAACCGTCTCCCTGCCTAAATGCTTATTGAGAAATAAACAAGCCCATAAGTATCCAACTCGACCATATAATAACTCGTCAGGATGATCTTTTGACGGCTTTATCTGTTTCCACGATCAAATATTTTCTATTTAATTATATCAAAGAAAACCAAAAGTCCTATGAATCAACACAAGAATTCAGACTAACCTCTTTAAATTGAGTAATATAATATTGAAGAAGCTGATCATCATCCCTGTATTTTGCCACAACAGCACCCAGAGCACATACCCCAGCTCTCCCACAAATAAATGTCACATCCCTAGCAATATCACATCATCATAAGGAAATTCTAGAAAATGCATTGAGTCAAACAAAAATGTAAGATAAAGATACAATCTCTCTATCAAGTAGTCAAACGTGAGTGCCCTTTTCCCTTGTCCAATCATTTTGAACTCTTAAGAGAGGAACATGAACTCCCTATAAGTTGAATATAAATATATAAATAAAGCCACAAACATTCTGCATTTTATTATGATTTCCGTCCCTTGAATTCTGTCATCCTTTTAATTCTAAAAGAAACCTAAAATATAGGGATGGCAACAAGGCAAGGCTGAGGTGGCACGCCCCACCAGGGTTTTTACCAGCCCAATCACCGCTTAATGCAGGCAATACCCCACCCCCATTTACTGTCCTCTTCTTATTTTCTTAATCTTTAATTTTTCCCCATAAATTCTATGGTAATTTGGGACTTGGGCTAGTAGGTTAGGGTAATCGATTGTGTTTGGGTTTAAGTGATTTTAAACAAAATTTGAATTTTTTTTTAAACAAAAAAATAATAATAAAATTGGGGCAGGGTAGGTCTCTGGTTTGGAGGTTCAAACTACCATCATTACTAAACAACAATTTTCTTAAAAGAAACTGAAACAATAATTTGCAACATCTAAAGCATAATGTACAATCACTGCATCGTATTTGAGCTGCAAAACTGTACTTTGGTTTCCCATCTTTTCAAATTGAGAAAGTTAAGCTGGAGTTCCCAACCTTTCCAATTTGTAGTACTTGAGTACCAAGTGGATGTTTCCATCCAAATGGTACCCAGAGGTCAGAACAAGTACAAGGCACGGTTGCTGGCTGAGGGTTCCACTAGGTAGCTAGTTTTGACTTCAATGAAACGGTCAGTCCTATAGTTAAATCCAGCACCTCAGGGCAATACTAATTGTTTCTATAGCCAGATATAGGATTTGATGACGATTACAATAAACAAGAACTAAGAATGAAAAGAAAGGGGAGAGAGAAGCAAGAGGCAGATTGTAATTTTATTCAATATTCAAGTGTGCCTTATTACAAATCAAAAAGCCTCCTTATATATGTTCTAAATCGCAACTAATAATAAAAATAAAGATTTCCTTCTAAAACGGAGACAAAATCAATTGTTTTACCAAAATCAATAACACGAAATAATGGAAAATACTATTCTAATTGATTTGATTTGGTTTATGCCTAGAACATACTTTCCATTTAGCATCATTCCTCCCCGGTTGAAAAGAACTGACTCCAGCAAGGTATAATCCAATATCCATCCAAAAGCTTAACATCTAGTTGACGGAACTCTTAAGCAATCCAAGTAATATCACTAGGCAGACAACCCTTTCAATGAACCAGAAATCAAGGAAAACCATTATTATATGAAAAAAAAATCTGATCATTGAGCACCTTATCAATAATATTCGACAAACAAAATGTAGTAACAACTACCCGAGTGGATGGACGAGGAGACTATTGTGCAAAAATATCAGACAACAAAACTGGAGGCTCAAACGTACCTCAATAAGGATATAAATCTACTATATTGAAAACATGATTAATATTTAAATGAGTTTAACTCAAGTAGATAAACATCAGTTCCAAGTTGCTTAATAATAAGGAAAAGTCCGAGTGATCTAGCAAAAAGTTTCTTAGTCATGTTTAGAAAATTGTTCAGAAGCAAGTCGTACCATGACATAATTGCCAACGTTAAATTCATTACGGTGTGAATCAATCGCTAGTTTATAATGATATTACTTACAAAAAATTTATGTTAGATCGTATCATGCAAGTCATGAATCTGATCAATAAAAGCTTGAGCAATGGCAGCAGGACGAAAGTCAGTAGGCAAAGGAACAAGATCAAATGACAGATGTGGGGAAAAACCTTGAACGACCTCAAAAGGGCTATGACCAGTAGACCTATTAACAGAATTATTATACATGAACTTAGCAAAAGACAACACAAGATCCCAATTATTCGGTTTTACTCCAACTAAGCAACGAAGAAGATTTTCTAGACTACGATTCATAACTTCAGTTTGGCCATCAGTTTAAGGGTGAACGCAGATGAAAACTTAAGTATCATTCCAAACAATTTTCACATTGTCTTCCAAAAGTAACTAACAAACTAAACCCCGATCAGATGCAATAGTGACCGGGATTCCATGGAGGCGAATTCTTTAAAGAACAACTTAGCAATATGGGACACATCAGTAGATTTCGAACATGGAACGAAATGGGCCATCTTAGAAGATGGAATCATGACCTCTAATAGTTTTAGGTAACCTGAGGATGAAATTTGTGCTGGGCTAAGAAATAAGAATTCAGATACGTAATTCTAATACGAAACGATATGATAGGGTACATTGATACAACTTTCAAAACCATTAGGATACGCAAATACGTGCATATGCATAAATTTTGGTATAATTTCATTAATATAAAAAATATTAAAACAGAGGCATGATAATAAAAATAAAATAAAATCCTAAAGCATTTTATTTTAATTTTTAATTGTCACAACTTCATTTTCTTCAACATCCGCTTCTTCATTATCATTAAAAATAACTATTCAACCTTGACTCATTTAATATTACATTAACAACCTCAAGCAACCTAACATTTTCAAGAGTATTAACGAGTCTCCAATAGTGTCTTACATTTTGAATTCTCCTTTTAAATAGAGAGTTAATTTTTTCTTTATAAAAGACGCAAAATATTTTGAATGAAGACCAATTATTCTACTCATTATGAAGTTATTTTATTCATTCACACAGAGTGCACAAAAGAGTAGGTACTCCAACTTCTTTAAGTACAAAATGAAGAAAAAGATTGCAGAAGAAGTTTCAAAGCAATGCTAATAACCAACAAGTCTTTGAATCCATATTATACCGGTTAGTGATAGAATCAAACTTACCAAACTCCCCAACCTATCAATAAAACTAGCATATTCTGCAGCCAGTTTACTGTGTTCCTCCAAGTTTGGGAAATACTTTTTGAAGCATTTGTCCTTTCTTTGGAAACTTCAAAATCCTTATGAAGAGAAATTCATTTTAAAATAGCTTAATATCAATAATACCGTTCTTCACATGTACTAACATATTTGATACGCATTGAAACTAATAAAAATTAAAAATTAAAAATTAAAAATTTAAAAAATTTAAAAAATACATAACGAAAATATAAAAAATATAAAAATATAAAATGAGCAAAAAACACGTATTCGATACGTATCGAAGCACAGCAAAGTGTATCCATGCTTGGATACATATCGAATATGAATACATAATGAGTTTACAAGTATTCGTGCTTTTTAGACAGTAAGGTCACGCCAAGGAGTATGAGAAATAGGGAGAGGAGTTTGCATCCCAATTTTTTAACATTGTGCCTTGCCTAATTGACACGTGCGACAGAGAGACAATACTAGCGACGTTTTTCTTCGGAGAAGGCCAATAAAATCAATCCTCAACTAAAGCAATAGTTTTAACTCGATCAAAATGACTAGCTAGATCTCCTGCATGTAGTTCTTAGATGAGGAAGTCACGAACTAAGGTATGGGGAATACATAATTTTGTGCCCTTGAAAAGATAGTCATCTTTAAGTAAAGATGCAACATGCTCACGAGAGGGATTATCTAAAAGTTCTTGAACGACGGTTCCATAGTCGGGACAACTAGGATAATCGCCCTTCAAATGCTCAAATCCCACCACAGTAGTGCTCATACAATGAAGGATCATAGTGATACGACTAAAAGCATCAACAGCTTAGTTTTTTACTGACTCAATGGTAGAGAACAAAAGTGTACTCTTGAAGAAATTTGACCCACTTAACATGTCGCTCACTTAAATGATGCTGTGTATTAAGGTTCCAAAGAGAGTAATGATCAAATTAAGGCACAAACTCCTAAGGCAATGAGTAATATCTTCAATGACAAAGAGATGGACAATGGCATCAAACTTTTTGTCATAGGTAAAATACTTCTACCTATTAATATTTGCAGAAGTAAGCGACTGACCATCCTGACTTAATACACCACCTATACGAATACCAAACGCATTATAGGCAACCACTCAAAAAAATAGAAAGATAGGGTAATGTAAGACGGGGCGTTTCTATCAACTCATGATTAGCGACAAAGAAAGCTTTTTTAGGCAAGGGGGCCCGATGAAAATCCCATTTTTTTATACACTCCGTTATGGGTGCGGTGACTAAAACCTTGAATAAATCTCCAAGAGAATGAAGTTAAGTCTTGAAAGCTACGGACCTCAATCAACATTGTAGCTTCAAGCCAATCGCGAATAGCGAATAACAGATATTTTAACTAAATCAGCACAAATACTATAGGCAAAAATGTTGAACCCTAAGAAGAGAACTTGAGGATGGAAGAATGAACACATTAAAGGTTGGAATACAACTGAGCCGAACGAAGAGTAAGGAAGACCTGTCGAATGTGATCTAAGTGTGCTTCTTGTGATCAACTATAAATCAAAATGTCACAAGACATAGGTCATGCCTTGCATGAAAATACTAGGTGCATTAGGCATCCCAGAAGACATAACCAACCATTCTTCCAAACCATCCCAAGTTTTAAATGTCGTTTCCATTCATCCCCTGATCTAATCTTAATTTGTTAATAACCACTCTGTAGATCAATATTGGAGAACCACAAAGATCCTACTAGTTCATCTAACATATCCTTAAAGCGTGGAATGGAAAATCATATTTAACAATGAATTTGTTGATGGCGCGACTATCAACACACATGCACCAAGAGGTATCTTTCTTAGGGGTCAGTAAAACCAAAGTTACACAAGGGCTAAAGCTAGGACGAATAAAACATTTATCTAGCAAAGCTGTATGAGTCAGAAAAGGAATGCAAACAAGCTTTGCAACCAAAGTAAAAATGAGCCAACTGTCGTTACCCTCACATTCAAAGTCTTTAAGGGACAAAATCTGAATCCAAACGTCTACACACCATTAGGCATCGGATGGGAGCTGGTTTCATTTTGGGGTCAAAGGGTTTGGAAAATTATAACTAATAAGGAAAATTACGATTTCCTTTTTAAAAGGAGACAAACTCAATTTTCTTACCAATATCAATAAAACGCATTATGAAAAATGCTATTCTAATTGATTCGATTTTGTCTACGGATATAATATACTTTCCATTTTGCATCAGGATTATCTAACAATTGGACATAAACTGTGTTTTTCAATGAGAAATTAAGAGAGGAGGTATATATGGAGCAACTCCCTAGATTTTTGTTGATCCTAAACAACCTAGCCCAGCTTGCAAGTTACACAAGTCATCGTATGGACTGACCCCAAGGGAATGGTTTGGCAAATTGCATCTAGATCATTTAACTTCTGAGTTTTTCAGATCCAAAGCAAATCACTCCCTGTTTCTTAACATTACTACAATTAACACCTCAGTTGTATTATTATATGTGAAAGATATCTTGGTGAGGGCATTTCATAACAGAAGTGCAACACCTTCTTAACCATCCAAACAGCACATTTTCCCTCAAAAGTTGAAGCTATGTTGATTATCTGGGCATTGAAAATCACACAAATGATTTTCTTAACATTACTACAATTAACACCTCAGTTGTATTATTATATGTGAAAGATATCTTGGTGAGGGCATTTCATAACAGAAGTGCAACACCTTCTTAACCATCCAAACAGCACATTTTCCCTCAAAAGTTGAAGCTATGTTGATTATCTGGGCATTGAAAATCACACAAATGATTTTCTTAACATTACTACAATTAACACCTCAGTTGTATTATTATATGTGAAAGATATCTTGGTGAGGGCATTTCATAACAGAAGTGCAACACCTTCTTAACCATCCAAACAGCACATTTTCCCTCAAAAGTTGAAGCTATGTTGATTATCTGGGCATTGAAAATCACACAAATGAAGGCTAATATCTATTCCAATCAACATATTAAAGATCTCCTTTGCAAGGTCAACATGAAGCGTGCCAGCTTATGCATGACTACTCTACTCCCACTGGTAGGCAGCAAAGATGATACTCAGGTATTTGCAGGAACTCTAACTTTGCACTTCATCTCACACCATCAGTCACCTGAATCTCCTGGAACTTTGGGATGCTGAGTTCCAACAGCCAAGTGATCCTAGCAATCGAAGGTCCACTTCACGGTATTGTGTTTTCCTTACCTCTTATTTAGTTTTTTGGTACTCCGGAAAGCAGCCAACTATATCCAGATCTTATACGGGGGCTGAATATAGGAGTTTGGCTAATGTAGTAGAATTCAGCTAGTTATCATCCCAGAAATGAATCACAAAAGCCTGGATTCTACTGTCAAAGGATATTGTTTCAGTGGCCTATGTATGAACAGAAAAACCAGCACAAATTTCTCCCCTTGTTTTGAGCTATTGCTTTGATAGAAAGAAGGTATAGCGAAAAACACAGTTTTGAATCTACTTGTGCAAGGTCCCCTACTCTACTCCAGTTATTCCAGGCTGGCTTTCTTTTCAGTAAGTTAAGAATTCCAGTTTCCAAATTCCCTGCTATTTAGTGCAATAACATGTCAAATATTCAGCTTACAGGCAAATCAAATCATGCATCGCATGCCAGGACCAAGCATGTGGAATTAGATTTATATTTTGTGCAATAGAACCTATTAGAAGAGAAGACACAACTTCAGCAAATCCTCTCTATCTCCAGCTCAAAGTTCCCACTGTTACAATGCAAACTTAGCCTCCACTCATGTAAGCTTATTAGGAACTTTTTGGAGGGAATAGTATTGGGTCCCACGAAATGTGTGAATGATAAATGAGCAGGTACCTATAAATATGTTGCTAAAATTAAAGGTCGATGAAAAAGGGAACTTAAAAGTAACTTTTTAGCTTATCCGAACACAGGCTTAGAGTCTTGGATCTTACTACTCTTAAGTTTGAGGGGGCTCCTAATGACAGAGGTATTGTTGTGTAAATAATGTGAACTCCAATTCCTAGGCGTTAGTGGCTTAACAAGTAAACATAGCAAAATCTAGGCACAATGTATTTGTGCATAGATTTGTGATTTAGGGACTAGTTTCCCAATTGTAATCCGAATTGATAGCATGACTTCTTTCCAGAAAATCCTCTCTTTGTTTTCTTCTTCTCTAAATCCCTAATGGTAATCTACCTCAATTATGTGAAATATGCATGGGTGCAGCGTCCAGAGTGCTGTGATGTGAGTAGACAGTCATACCACTTGTAGCACCGAAGCTTTTCTCAACCCCCCCCCCCCCCACAACACACACTCCTTACCCCAAAATGAATATTCAGAAATTTCAATCCCTAATAATGAGTAATTAGTGCTACAACAAGACGAGAGAGAGAGAGAGAGAGAGACCTAGACTGGAAAGAAGCTTCGTTACATGCCTTGACAATCTCAGAACACAGGTTCAAATCAATCTTGTTATGGGTCACCTGAAAAGACTTGAAAAGCAAAAAGGCAGTCCCAAGAGAACCACAATACAGAGAAAAATCTTCCACACGTTGCCCACTGAGACCCCATGTCTCCACCACTATCTGGACACAAAAAGCACAAAACTTCATAAACTTTCCAGAGCAATTCTAAACCAGCTTGACAAAGTTTTCTTTCACAAACAGTAAATAGAAATAGATATAACTGTTTCTTTGAGGTCAAGAGCTGTGCGTTTGAGTTGCTCAGAGAGAATGGAATGAGGCAGCGAGAGGAGCTTTAATAGCGAATCTTGAGTGCCTTGAGAAATTATCTCTTGCTGTTTTTCTTCAATTATTTGTGAGTTTTCTGCGACAAAGTCTGGCATTACATTGAGGTAGTAACGATCGGCCATTTTATCTCCCGATCGATTTTCTGCAGTTGTTTCTGGGAGGTTTTACTCAAAAGGACCTTAGAGCAGAAAATGAAGACACGTATAGCTCTGAGATTTGGTACGTGCCCGTCAATGAGAGTGTCAACCAGGAGAAAATTTTATTACCGTATCCCCAACCTATATTCTCTTTCACCGTGTCGTCCCTGACTTTAATTTTATAACTTTTTGGATGTTGCTATTTGTATATAAAAAATTGTATCTAATGAATTATGTAATATGACGTGGATGGAAAAGAATGGATAAAAATTTGATTGTATTTTTAACTGATAAATAATAGAGTGTTATGTAATGTAATTCATAATGTAAATCGTTTGTATAGTGTCGCTAAACTTCCACTACATATTCCATCCACTCGACAACTAGGACAATGGTTATATTTTATCACAATTTTTTTCCCACTATTTTTATTTAAAAAATGTTAATTATACTAAATGTTTTCAATTTTGTTGCAATTTTGTTGCAATTTTGTTTCAATTTTACGGTCAATGTTTCATCAATTAGCACATTTGGTATCTAATGAGTTGACGATGAAGTTGAAGATGTGTGGCGTTTTTGTTTTGTTTTTTTCTTTTCTTGGTTTTAATTTTTTTTTCCTTTATAATTATTAGTAATTCTCTCTTTTTTTTTATTATATAAGTTTAAGCATAATTCTCACTTGAAAAGAAATTAATAGAGCATTTGTATATAAAACATCATTAAAGGGTAAATGTGTTGAGTTATAATAAGAATGCCACAAAAATATTGATGACATAAATGGATCAATAATTAAAGATTACAAATCTTTAGTACAAATGGTCCTTTTTCTAAAAATAGTAGAACAAAAGAAATTTGCAGTGATTATATAACCATCAACTAAAAGTTATTCCTTTTCTTTTCTTGTTAAAGATCCTTATATCTTTAGTTATTCCTTTTCTTTTCATATTAAAGATCCTTATATCTTTAGTTCTTTACTTTTAGTAAAAGTAAATGGATAAAGAAAAAGAAGAATGATGGGTATATTAACACCATAATTTTTATTTATTACATCACATTTTAATTATAATTAAGCTTCTTAATCTTTGCTCATTATAGTTGTTGACCTTGAATTTTGTAACACTAATGTGCCCAACAAATCTTAATGTCTTTCATGTTTATGCAAGCCTAGTTCCTACACATATGGACAAGCCGTTAGTCACGCGTAACTTCCTTCAATGGTGGTGGAATTGATTGCACGCACTTCAACGATCAAATCGATTGAAATAATAAATATATGAGTGTGAGAGGACTTTAGACGAGCTTCCAATATAAAAAGAGGGTCAATTTTGTGGAGTGATAGATAAAATAGTGATAGCACAAAGTTATAGTTTGAGAATCTAAAGTTGAATTACTTTTAGAATAGCACACTATGTGAGCTTTTATATTAGAATAGAATGAATATTAGCTGTAGGATGAAAGTATACGTGGGCTTATCTGTGTGGCTAAGGCTTCTTGTTGAATATGTTAATCAATCATGAACATTAAATGCTAATACCATTTTATTGTCCGTAATACCTAGATGGAGCTTGGACTTAAATTGATTGGCTTGCTAGAGCAACGATAGCAGTGAGTTGTCAAATCAACCACAACAAGAATTGGATGAAAGATCTTCTATCAAGTTTATTTTGTTGCCTCTCCATACGACAAGGATTTGACTATTTCAAATAGAGTCGACTCAATCAAATGGGTTTGGTATCCCACATTGGTTCGACCTCTTCACGGGGTTCAACCAAATGGCCTCTTGGCATTTTTCACATGAAGTGTGGGAGCCAGATTTGTTTGCCACGTAGGATCTCTAGAGTCTTATCATGCGAAGTGTAAAAATAACAATTATTTTCTTAATTTTTTTTGTCAAATTCTTATCTTCCTATTAATTAGTGCATCTCGTTCTGGATGATAATTTATATATATTTTGTTTACATGCTTTAAAATGAGTGAAAAATAATACGTTGTTGTACGTTATTTTAATAGACTTTTGGACATGAACTGTTATCAAATAAAAATGTGTTAACTCATGAAAAGTTTGATGATAAGAGTGTCATGAAAAAATTATTAGGGACATAAATACTATACTAAGTAAAGATTGAGAACCTTAATTGTAATTAAAATGTAGTGCATAAAATAAAAATTGTAGCGTAAATATAATTACCCCAAGAAAAAATACAAAATAATTAAAAAGACATTTTTAGCCTTTTCACTTGAATTATATAATTTTATCAACCTCTATTTTATTGGCATACAAAATTATCTTTAGTTGGAGAACAAATTACAAGATTGTTAGTAGGGTGATTATATTGTCATTACAATTTTTATTTGGTACACCATATTTTAATTACAATTAAACTTCTCAATATTTGCTTGTTTCCTTAACTTTTTTCATTGAATTCTTATTTTCAATCTTTCATTAATCAGTACATTTCATCCTTGATGATGATTTATATTAAATTATTTTATTTTCATACTATGAAATGAGGGAAAAATATTTTTCACACTTTTTATTTATTTCTTTTTTAAAATATGATAAAAAAATAAGTTATTTTACGTCATTTCAATAGACTTTTGGACATAAAATTATTGTCAAATACAAAATCTGTTAACCAATAGAGAGTTTAAGGACAAGAATGACAAGAAAAATCATTAGGGATATAAGTGCTATAATGAATAAAAATTAAGAACCGTAAATGTAATTAAAATGTGGTGCAAGAAGTAAAAATTATAGTGTGAATACAATTTTCATTGTTAATGATATAATTAGCGTCCAAATACCCGATTTACCCTTTTCTATATATTTTTTAAATTCGGTAGGTTTGGTTGGAGAGGTCATTTGAAGGATTCTTTTGACATAAGAGTTTGACAACCATTAAAAAAACATTTTTTTTCAATTCATTTTAATCACACATTTTCACAATAAAATAATTTACATGTAAATTTAAAAAATTTTAAATATTTTTTAACCATATATTCTCCCCAAAACCACTTATTATAATGGTTGTTGGCTAAAAATCTCTTGACTTTTTCTGCTCCATCGATTTTAAAGTTCGAATTCTAAAGAACTCCGCATAATGTTATTTATCAAAAATTGTGATAGTCATCGTGTTTAACTGTTAATTAGATTATTGGGCATCTTAAACGGGACATATATACTTACATTTAAGGTTCAATCGCTTAATGTTACTTGTGAATTATCTAATTTGTTCTCATGTATCTTTCCATTTTCCTTTAAAGGATTTAATTTTGAAGCTAAAGTCCTTTTATGGTAAATATTTTTCGTTTTATCTTTAATTCTCGATAAACTTAACACAAATAATAAAACTTGGTTCAATTTCCATAGCTAGGTTTTGATGGGAAAGTGTTCAATTTCATATGCGATCACCATTACCATAGCTAGGTTCAATCTCAGCGCGATCATTACCATAGTTCGATTGGATTCTTAAAAATTTAAAACCATATTATTTGGTGCTCTTTGAAGCACATTGATGAAAATAAGGTCACGTATCCATTTTCTCGAAACAAATCAAACTGAAACACAGCTGACAGCACCTATTATCCACCGCTTTCTTCTCCAAATTTGATCACCCCGATCTCATCAAATCAAACACACTTACATATAACACAGAGAAAGAATTGTCGAAAATGGATGCATTTGATGAGGGCTACGCAGGAAAAACCGATGGCGAGGAGATCCAACCAAATGCACATCCCTCCGACGACGATTCCTACATGGGTCATGATTTTGACGACGACATCCATGATGGAGCTCCACCACCTCCACCTCCAATGCAACCAGTCCCTATGGCTATGGATGACTTTTCCGGGGATCCCATGTTGAGCACTAACAATAACATGCAGTCTTCGGAGGGATATGGGTTCCGTGGTTCCACGAATCCCGAGTACTCTCCCTCGCCTTTCNTGAGCACTAACAATAACATGCAGTCTTCGGAGGGATATGGGTTCCGTGGTTCCACGAATCCCGAGTACTCTCCCTCGCCTTTCCATGAGAATGGCATTGGTGGTAATGCAAATGGGAACGAGAAGCCATATGAGACAGCAGCCGACAATGAAGGGCTTTTCACGGATACCTCCCCTGATGGGCCGTTGCTTCCTGATCCCAATGAGATGCGCGAGGAAGGAGCTGCATTTCGTGAATGGCGTCGGTAAGCATTTGGTGTTTGTTATGTGCAATCCAAAATGTGTATTTACTTTTATCTAGCGTGAACATGAATGGAAATTGATTTGCTTTGGATCACAAAATTGACCGATACTCACTAGATGGTGTTTTATCCATCTGGATTTGACGATGTTAGTTTTCTTTTATAGATATGCATGTCATGAGATCTAGCAATGAATCAACAAATGGAACGGACTGAACAGTATAACCAAATTTATTGAACTAGGCCTATATAAATGTGCTGCTTTATGTCTCTTGGCCCTTGTTTGAATCACATTATATTCCTAAGAATGTATTTTTGAATAGTGTGTTGATGGAAAATGTGGGGTTAAAAAATAAAGAAAAGTTTTGAATTTGCGTGTAAATTATCTTATTGAAAAATGTGTGATTGAAATGATATCAAATCACTGTTTAAGAATGTATTTTTTTGAAAAAAATGTGGCATAAACATAGCCTTAATTTATTCTTCTAACTCTCTTAAGTATGTTATTTGTCTTAATATTCATATTAAAATGTTACAGGTGGAGAATAGTATGAGATGCATATTTTCAGTGTACTGTGTACGTAAACTGAAAAATGATTAGTTTTTCAGGAAGTGTATAGGAAACCGGTGTTACTTATTAGTACGCACGTATGTTACATACTATAGTATTAGTCTTCATTAACATATATAGCTTCATTATTGGGTTTTTTGTATGACTGATTGCTTGCACATTAACCAATTTTCCTGAATAGTTTCCATAAAAATATGAATTGTTTCATGAAACACAATGTATATAAAAATATGATGATAATGGTTGATAGACATTGTGAATGTGCATAACTGTTGAAACTTGATATTTTTCTTGTCATAAATTTTTGACACGAGATATAAATTGTATATCATTTGTATCTTTTGACATAAACTGGTAGATTTTCTCAGCATCACACAATGGACGGTCAATGTACAGTCTTTCTTTGTGATGGAAAGCTAGTAGTATATATACTTTTGGTAGCCTGAATCCTAGTTCCAATGGGTCGCAGAACGATCGTTTGATCGAACATATTATTATAGTCAAATTTACAGGTTTTTATTTGGTGAAAATGGAACTAAATGTTGGGTTTAGTCTTACATTCAGAGAACAATTAGCTTTGTTCTCTTCACCTCATGTGATGCTAAACGGATTTTACGTAGAAAGTACTCAAACTAAATGTTCTTCTGTCCGTTATATTTTAGAAGGCATGTAGCGTGGATAGTGCGGTGGATTTAAAGTTTTTGATAGAAATGGTTAACCAAGCTCAATACCTGTATTGTTGACCCTGAAGGGTTTCTATTGCCGGCTATGGTTTATGCTGCATTCTGGAATTTCTATTGGCTTTTATGCTTTGTGTATCAATGTATGGATGCTTGTGCTGCTCCCAAAATATGAGAGCTTAGTTTCAAGTTTCTGAAACCTGTCATTTTTCTTGCTCTTACATTTTGCCTTTTCATCGGTTTTTATTTATGGATTCATTGCTTTTCTTAGAAACATTTATTCAGTGGTCAAATTAATTTTATGCTTTGTCATATTCAGAACAGTTTCATTATCAGAATAAAATAGCTGGAGATCTGTTTTTTCACCCAACTCGCTTTCAATCTGAACACATTAAGATTTGTAAACAGTCGTGCGGAATTGCAATATTTCTTTATCTACTTTTTGATTACGTGTTAGATCAACAGAGACTATTCTGCTGAACAAAGGGCTTTGAGAACATAGTTCTTCATCAGTAAACATATATAATTTTCTAAATTCGTATTTGGTCTAGTAACCACTCAATGTAGAATCTTACTAAACCATTGCATAAAAAGTTATGGATATTCTATTTATGATCTTAAGACTTCTTTTGTTTTTGTTGGCGTAGTCAAAATGCCATTTATCTTGAGGAGAAAGAGAAGAAGGAGAAAGAGATGAGGAATCAGATTATTGCTGAAGCTGAGGAGTACAAGCAACAGTTCCATGCAAAGCGGAAACAGAATTGTGAGACTAACAAGGCTCAGAATAGGGAAAGAGAGAAAGTAAGATCAAGCATCCAACTTCATGTCGTCTATTTAAAGTTTAAGCAAACTTTTATTAACGGCTGGATATTTGTTTTGTGCAGCTTTACCTTAAAAATCAAGAGAAGTTCCACAAGGAAGCTGACCAACAATATTGGAAAGCAATAGCGGAGATCATTCCTCGTGAAGTTCCCAATTTTGAGAAGAGAAGAGGGAAAAGGGAAGAGGAAAAGAAACCTTCTGTTTTGGTTATTCAAGGGCCAAAGCCTGGGAAACCCACTGATCTCACGAGAATGCGTCAAATGCTTCTGAAGTTGAAGCAGACACCTCCACCCCATATGTTACCACCCCCACCCAAACCTGAGATAGATGGCAAAGATGCTAAGGGAGGGAAGGATGCGAAGGACATGAAGGATCTGAAGGATGCCAAGAATGAGAAAGTTGGAACGCCAAACGAACTGAAGGATGTAACAGATGCTACTCCAGCAGCTTCTTTGGCTACCGCCTTAGACAAGCCCGGTTCACCTGCTAAAGATGCAACAAAAAGTAGTACTCCTAAAACACCCACGCCAGATGCATCTTCTGCTACCAATGATAATAAAGAAGCCGAGATGGAGGCTGCCTCTATCGCTTGATGGGTACCTGGTCTTCGTTTATTTATTCCTTTTATTTGTTTTCTTCATCCTTAATTTAGTTATCTTACCACTAGCAAAGGAATAAAAGAAGCTCTCTTTGATGCCTATTCTCTGCGGAAGAGAATGCACTGAGCTCTGTTCTAACTACTTTCTTTTTACATTACACTTATTGTGGTTCTTGTCAATTACATTTAATTGTTGGCTCATTCTATGGACACAATCATACAGCGCCAGAAATTTTGGTTTCTAATATGATGGATGCTCCAAATTCTTTAACTGCGGCTTTCACTTTTACATATTTATTCTGTATATTTTGTTGGAATTTGGTCAAGTTAATAAAAGTTGATTTTGTATCAACTTCGGCCAAATACTTGAATAGGTTCTGATAGTTAGATCACACGAGTTCACAGGCTAACTTGTTTTACTCGTCAAGTAGATAATCAAAAATCTTTGAAATTTCAAAATCAATTCTAGATAAATGAGAAACTATTGCCAAAGATAGGAGTAAAAAAATGGAAATTTGGCTATTTAAGATCATCCCTTTATGAAACATATTGAATTTTGGGGGCGTGTCTATCTGGGCATAATCTCTCAACCTTTATCAATTGGACACCCTTGGTGATCTTAAATTCCATATCATATTCATTGATTGCTTTGCATCAAAACACTCCATGAAAGTTGTTTTTCTTACATCAAAAACATCAAAATAGCATATTTTTATTTCGAGTTCGCCATTTTCTTGAAGTTTGAAGTGTTGGAATGCGGAAGCGGAATTAATCAAAAATTAAAATTTTCTTTAATTCAATAAGCAAGATCGTCTAGATATTTACGTGTATGTCATAACAAAATTAAAGGATTCGAATCTTTTACGTAAATTAAATGATCAACCTTGAATTAACTCTGATCCGCGAACTTCCGTCTTCTTTAATTGCAAGAATCTTGGTGCTTCAAACGTTCAAGCCTTCTATGGTATTTTTTAACGAAAAGACTACANAACTTCCGTCTTCTTTAATTGCAAGAATCTTGGTGCTTCAAACGTTCAAGCCTTCTATGGTATTTTTTAACGAAAAGACTACATCGCCGTGTAGGCACATTCTTTCAATTAATCTGGAAACTAATTCTTGAATCTTTGACAACAAGAAAATAATATATTTTCTCTCTCTTTTTCTCTCTACAAATTTGAATCTTATGGAATTATGAATGTTGTAGTATTTTTTTATTCATCTAGTCTCTATTTAAAGAGAAAAATATGATAGAATTCTAATACAATTATAATTTCACATTCAAACAAGAGTTCTAATTAAAACTCAAGTAGGAGTTCTAATTTAAGTTCAATTCTAATTAGTTTACATATAATTGCATGTGTAGTCCTTGAACTTCAATTACAATTACAATCAAATTTATAACTTTCATAGTAATTACAACCAAGTACAAAACTTTATTGTAATTACAATTAAGCCCAAAACTATTATAATTATCATAATTAAGTTCTAATACTTTATGGAGCTACCACAGGGACCTGATCGAATATATATTTTCCAAGTTCCAACAATTAGATCATGTATAGTCGACCCTAGACCACCCAATCTAATTATTAGTCCTTGCTTTTTTCACTAAAAGCAAAAGACTGAACCCTTGGAATATATAAGATCACAGAAGTCAATAAATCTGTAATACTTTCCTCTGACCTATTGTATATGTATTTTATCTTTGTCCGAGATCCGATAATTAGGTATGAGCATAAATGACTCTTTTGCCCCTCTAATTATTCTTACTAACTTAAGTTTCATTTTCTTCAACGGTCTTGTGAACAAATCACAGAAGTCGAAGTTTATTCATCGCTAAACACTGAGCTCAGATTTTAACCGTTCAACAGAAAATACTCAAGTAGTCACTCTATCCATTTTCAGGACGACGGTTCCTGATATGAATTCATGTTCTCTACTCCGTTCATTCTCAAGTTTCCAACTCATCGAGATATTTGACCAATCTAATTGATCTCACTCATTGATGAATCAAATAACAATTAAAATCGCAAAAATATATACATAATTCTGTCAAGGGATTCAGATGAAATACACAGCGGTTAAATGAAATTTAATTTTCAGCATGGTCATGCTATAGAATTAAATTCGACACGTGATCCGTTCTATACACTTCAAGTGTACTAGTATTACCTTTAACTATTTCTGTGATAAGGACAAATCACAAACCTGAATAATGAATCGATCAACACTATAACCTTCCAGTACAAGGTGCCAACCCTTATATATTGGTTGTGAACAAATTATTTATGATCAAAATACAAGTTGTGTCACATTGTACTTCTCAACGCAAGTACCCAACTCATATTATCACAAGTGATTATAGGCACTTTAATTTCGCATGCTCAATAATAAATAAATGCAATAAAGTAAACATAATTTTATAAAAAATATTGTTATTTTTATATCAGCAAAATTATACTATATGAGCGCACAACCCAACATAAAGTACTTCAACTACGATGAGAAACTATTGTATATTGGGAGACGATTGTCATGACTTTATAAGCACCATTGTGAGGCAAATTCGTCTTAAAGACAAAGCGTTGAACACTTGACTGCATTCTTCATTTTTGTTCTTCATTTTATGTAACTTTTGTTTTCATTCCAAGCAAATTTTAATTTGATTTATTTTATGCTTTTTTTTTTAATTTGATTTATTTTATGTTTTAGTTTCAATTGTAATTTGCAAACACACACACACACACACAATACCCTTACAAGTTTAAGACGAAATTTTTGTAGTTTTACTTGTTATATTTTGATTCTATTCATCCCTTCGAATAAACAAAATGTTGTTGCTTTCTTCTATTAATTGTGTTGAACTTCTGTTTTTCATAACAAAAATGGATACTGTGGGGCTAATTTTAGTCAAACAACAAATGCTACAACTAAGTGGTTCTGCCAATGGTTATATCTCTTCAAACTACTCCAACTCTACATGGAGAAAAATCTAAAAAAATTCAACGGAGTAGATTTTAAGAAATGGCAACAATAGATAGCCTATCTCACTATCTTTAATTCAGCATGGTTCTTTACCAAATTTTCACACATAAAAGAAGTAGAGAATAATCGCTAGTCAATTATAGCATTTGATGCATGGACGCACTAGAACTTTTATTGCAAAAATTATATCCTAAATGGATTGGATAACATGCTATCCTGAGTGTATAGTACTATGTAGTCTGTAAAGGAATTTTGGGAATCTTTAGAGAAAAAAAATACAAAACAGAAGATGCTAGCATGAAGAAATTCATTCTAAAAAAGTTCTTTGATTACAAGATATAGACTGCAAGACTGTCATCAGTCAAGTCCAAGAACTAGTGGTTCTTTTACATGTCATACATGTCGGGAATATAAATTGAGTTAATCATTCCGAGTTGTTACTATCATCGAGAAACTCCCTCCCTTATGGCGAGATTTCAAAAATTGTCTTAAGCACAAGTGTAAGGAGATGGATTTGGAAGAACTCATTGTTCAGCTAAAGATAGAAGAAGACTGAAAGAAAATCTAGTGTTCAAATTGAACAAGCAAAAGTCAATCTAATGGAATTCAATTCAAGGATCAACAATGAGATAAAGCTCTCGGGTGATGCACCAAATAGAGTTAGCAACAAGAGATAAATAATTCAAATGTAATTATTACAATTGTGGGGAAAGCGTGTTCACAAATTAGCCAAGTAAATCCAATAGTATTTCACTAAGACAGGTCCAAAGCCAGAAACTACCTCTCCTGATACGATGTCTTTCCACTTGTTTCTACTAGTCTACATTAGGATTTGCATATCTGGTAATTTTCATTCATGTAAAAGATTGTTGAAATTTGGTTAAGCAAAGTTAATAAAAGCTTATTTTGTATCAACTTTGGCCAAATATTCGGATAGGTTCTGATAATCAAATTACGTAAGTGAATAGACTAACTCGTTCTATTTGTCGAGTAGATAATCATCATAAATTAGGAATCTCAAAACTAACTCCAGATGAGTGGGAAATTATTGTTCAAAAATAGGAGGAAGGAAAGGAAAATTTGGCTATATAAGATCATCGTTCGAGTGGCCGCGTAGTTGCTATTGAATGTTCGAGGCCCAATCGGGCAGCTGAGGACTGCGTTCCTTAATGAAACATGTTGAGTTTTGCAACGCATCTCTTCGGCCACTATCCATAAACCTCTATAAATTGGATATCCTTGGTGGTCTAAAATTTCATATCATATTCATTGATTACTTTGCATCTAAATGCTCATCAAAGTTTTTTTCTTGCATCAAAAACATCAAAATAGTAGAGAGAAAATTCTATTTTGAGTTTGCCATTTCTTAGAAGTCTGAAGTGCTTCTATTGTAAGGAGGAACTTGGGAGATGATTTTCAAGACTTCATAAGCATCGTTACGAAACAAATTCGTCTTAAAGACAAAGTTCTGAACACTTGCCTCAATTTTACATTCTTCATTTTGTTCTTCATTTTCTGTAACTTTTGTTTTCATTTCAAGTAAGTTTTACATTGATTTATTGTTTGCTTTAGTTGCAATTATAATTTGCAATCTCACACACAATACCCCAACATATTTTGAGGGTGAAAATGACTTTTTAATGTTTAGTACTAGAAGACTGTACGGTAATATGATTTAAACATATCTTTGACGATTGAACCATATGTATGTTAAGAAATTACACCGAAGAAAGTTATAGTTGCATGTCCTAGAGAAGCAATGCTTTCAGTACAAGAATTGATTTAAAAGATTATCATTGAGCTCCACTTTTATTAATGATTAAGATAGAGAAATTGAATATGGCTGCATAAATTATAAGTGGGTATGTTTTAAAAATTAAAATTTCTTACATTTTTTATACTTGTAGTTAAGAAATTAAATTGCAAATTGATATGAATGTAGAATTGTAAATACAAATGCACTAATGATTTTAAATACAGTATTAAAATAATAAAAACAACATAAATGATCTCTCGAAGGATTTCATATCCTTATCTTTCCCATGTGTATTAAACTCGAATACTTTCTCTAAAATGGAGAGCCCCAGCAACAAATGGCATGATAGACGAGTACACTGGAGGGCTTGAATCCTCCAAATTTGGGAGGATTTTGGACAAGGACCATGTGAGGGAAGAATTGGACAACAGCTTTCACATGGAAGAATCAAAATATCCAAGATATTGTGGGTCAGTTTCCACATGTGGTCTTCATCAGTATTTTCTTCTTAATTACAAAATTCTGAACGTTGCTCCGTTTTCAAACCACTTGTTCTTTCCCATGTGAGCCATCAACTGAACTGCAGTTTGTGCATTCATATCTTGTGTCAGACTTTGCCCATATAATATCCCCACAAAGTTATAATGTATGTAAGAAAAAGAACATATAATCTTGTTGTCCTATTATGAGTCGAGATCTACTATCTTCACTTAACTGATCTCCTAGTAAATTTCTTACTTGTCGATCCATAAACCTTGTTAGCAAATGAGAAGAGGCTAACATAAGTATGCTACAAGATGAGATCTTATGTCCCCACTTGTTACACAAATCCTTATTAGCAAGTGAGAAGATGGTAAGAGAGTGTTCTTTCCCATGTGAGGCATCAAGTTAACTGCAGTTTGTTCATTTTTATCTTCAGTCAGATTTGGCCCATAGAACATCCCCTCAATATTATAATGCAAGAAAAAGAACGTATAATTGTTTGTGCCTAATTTTATGAGTATAGATATATCGTCTTCACTTGATTGTCCCTGATAATCTTTTACACCTTGGTACGTAAGCCTGGTGAGAAGATGTTTACACATTATACTAAAAGTTATATTATCTACAAAGACTCTGTATACTAAGGTATAAAAAATTTGTGGATGAACAATTAAACAAGGACAACGTATATCAATTAGGAGTATGAATGTGTGTAAATGCTACTTTAGTAACTTTTTCCTTTTAAGTTTTCTTACTTTTGTTGAAGTCAACAAATGCTGCTTAATTTTGGGAAGAGGAAAATAGCCATAAGGAGCGGTAGGGTTCATTCAAATGCTGCAAGACAACTATGATCAAGAATCTGTAATTAATATAAAAAGAAATCATTTCAACGTGTTTGTATGTTGGAGTAAACTAAACCTAAAATTATTAAAGAAACAAGATATTTGAGATATTTCTCAAGTGTTATTCCATGTCTAATATTTTTTAAATACTTTATATGAAAAAGAACATGATGAAAAAACCGCAACATAGTTGTAAAAACCTGTTTCTCAAATTAGTTAACACTTTCATTAAGGGCAAAAGGGTCTTTTGGATGTGGATGACCCAAGTGGCAACCCCCAATTGGCCCATGGAGCTTCACTCGAGTTGTGCTTCTTTAGCCTTCATCCTGACCGTCCATTACAGATCAATGGTTGATATGAAATCTGATTTTTTGGAGGCGGTTTATGAGGGATCAGTTTATTGGAGCACACAGTTTTGGGAGACTTTCTGCCTTCTTGAGTTTTACTCTCTCTGTTCTCTTCGAGAGAATACTTCGTCTTCTTCTTTTTGGTTTTGATCTTTGTGTTTTTTCATGAGATCATTGTAATTAGAAGGATCCTGTGAAACTCTTTACGCTACAGTAACTTTGGCCGGTTGTTTTGGCCTTGGTTCGGCAGTTTAGTCCCTTTTTTCTTTTGGTGATTAAGAGTTGATTTTGTGAGATCTTTGGATCGATGAACAAAACTAGTGTCTGAGTGTGGTTCCAAACTTGTTACAGTCTCTTGGAGGGTTACTTTGCACATAGTGAACGGGCTTGCCTTCGGTAAGATTGGGCACGACAAGTTAAAAAATTGGCCGAGCAAGCCTACAAGGCTCATCCAATAGGAAAGATGGTCGAGCTCGTCGAGCCTTTCAACCAATATGAAATGTGATCAAGGTTGAGCCTAGAAGGCGAGAATGACTCCCTCTTGAGTGGATGACGTTCAATCACCTTGGTTGGACGACACATAAGTAAGATAGCACTTACAACATGAAGGATCAATTTGGTTTTGTGAATGGCATACCCACCAAATTTGGGAGATGATAGACACATTTCGATCTCGATGAGCGATTGTGTACCACTTAAATACCCGAGTTTGTTTGTGATGAAAATGATGTAATTTGACCCTGCAATCCACATATTCTCTCCGCATACAAAATCTACATACAAACAGTAGGCCTGCATTCTTAATTTGTTACTTCGACAAATTGTCCATCTAACTGATTTCTTGATTAGTATTAGTGTGTAAAATATTTTAAAAGTCGCATTTTTGTATCCGACACGTTTGTGAAAACACAAATCCCTTGAAAACTCTTGGGCAAACTTTGAAGTTTGAATTACTCCTTTTGAAGGGAACCTTTGAAAGAAGTTAGATGGACTACCTACTCTGTCAAGAGTCTTGATTTGCTGTTGTACTTGATGGAATCATCTCTTTATGATCTTCTGATTTCTCTCTTTATATTATTGCTTTATTCTCTTTCCAATGGAATCCAAAATGGAATTTTGCCTAAATTAATAAAGCACACACATGAAATAAATAAAGTTGCAGTCACATGTAAAACTGGCAAGATTAGACTAGTTTGAGAGATAATTTATTGTAATGACACGACCAAACTCTTACAAGAAAAATAATTCAAAATTGAGCAAAAATATCGGGAATAATACGAAAATCTTATTATAAAACAAGGCCCCACATCAGCAAACAACATTACAACCATATCTATTTGGTCCAATCAAAGGGCTAACTACCCAACAATGTAAATAAATTACACACCACACTTAAAATCGCACTCTCACCCTTTGGGGAGGGCGACATAACATAGCATAACACAACACAATGACTTTACATTTAAATCGATAATTAACTCTCACATCCACTTACTGACTCACACACTACAGAAAGCAGGAAAAAAAGGGATCCCAACATAACAAAAAGAAACACCATTCGATGCCTCTTTTGCGTCGTTTCTTTAGTAGAAGTTGAGGCGGGATGTGTAAGTAGCTTTCGGAGACCAATTTCCTGGAATAATATCCCGTGCAGATAGACTTCTTCCTGTTGATAGTGTTGTTAACTTTACAGAAAATGGTCCTCTTAAGGGTCCCCCAATAATGCACCAATTTGCACCCCATAAATGTGTCATCTCAAGCCATTCATTCGAATTTGCCTGCATTATTCGAGGCAGACAAAAGGTTAACCGTTAACGGGGGAAATGGTACTTCATAGTAGAAATGAGAAATCCCATTTCAAAAGTAGAAGGTGTGTTGGAACACATTGTCCACTAGAGAAAGTAAAATGCATGGGCACGAATTAACAAAAGGTTTTCCAATTGGGATCTGTATTAAAGCAAGCAATTGAGTTTCTTTTGACAAAGTTTCGTGTCTGTCGGGCATGTGAATTTAAAGTCATAAACTTTAGTTTATCTTCCTAAACATCTGAAATTGTGTATGTATATTCCATGACTTTAAGAGCTTCCCTTTAGATAATTGTAAAAGTGAAGCTTCTTTGACTATAAATCACATCGAATGAAATATCTTTTGTTTAAGTCCTGTAGTGAATTTTTTAGGAAAAATCTATTTGTACATAATTTTTGTAAATAAGGGTGTCCACATATGTATTTTTTGTACATAGGGGTGTTTAGACCCTCACATGGGACGGGCGGGTTTTGTTAGAAGTACGAAATTTTTGTATACAGGGGTGTTCACACCCTCACATGAGGTGGGGCCGCCCAATTTTTTACATCACATTCCTCTAATTATGGATCGGAATAGATATGTTAAGCGCGTCGAATTATGAGAAGATGTGTTTACCTGTCTTATATGCATCGATCCAACGTCACCATCTCCATCTTCGAATTCTACTAAAAGTGAGAGCCAATAATCAGTTGAACCTTCATTGACGTGAAAGGCAATGTTTTTCCCAGGATACTTGCATGTTGTCCTGCAAATTTACAACAAAATTACTAAAATTTGTACCCAAATTAATTTTTTCTTTCTTTATAATTATTAAAAAAAAAATCATTTTATATCTAACGTTTGTCTCCTAATACGTGGCCACAGAATATAGTTTGTTTATAATATCTGAGCTCAATTGTCTGTTGAGATGTCATTAGATTTTGACCACATTAAAATGACAAAACAGAACATGACCGTTATAAGTCACTGTACTCTAGTCTAGTACAACTTACCGCCGGTAGATTACGGAAATTTCGCCACGGTTGCGCAACCCGCCACCAGCACCGGCGATGGCCATTCGGCCGAAGGCGGCACCGCTAAGATCGAAGTGGGTGCGGCCGTTGGAGCAGTAACCACCGGGGCACTCGTCCGTTATAATGACTGTCACGGCCCTTCGAGAGCATATTGACTTGTCCAAGCACCTCACTTTATAGCACGCCCCGCACCCTTCCCCGTTTTTAAATAATACCGGGCTCACTGCCCCAACTCGAGCCCTGAATGGCTTCACGTCCACCAGTGACCCGTAACCACACGCCCCACCTTCACCAGAACAGAAAATTAGTAAAAATGTTAGAAACAAAATTATGAACGGAGCATGGTGTGGGAGCATGTTATACCGTCACTGCCGTCGCCTTCCGGGCTTCCGTACCAAGTGGCCGTGGCGGGATACCAATGTAGGTCAGCAACTTCCCGGAGAGGCCCACCGTTGGCCACCAAGCTACGAAACAACACTAGCATGACAGGCACCAAGAAATGGGCTAAATGGCGGCGACCCTCCATAATGTAAGTGGAATGTAGATCGGCGCTACCACTCCACCACAGTTTCAAGGAGGCGAAGGAACCGAGGTCGAGAAGTATAACTGGAGGTCTGCCGACAGTTTAATTAGGTCTTGATGTACTGAAACTCTGCAGTTGATTTTGTAGTGTTGTGTGGAAATATAAGGTTGCACAAAGTTGGCATGTGCAATAGGGACCGATTTGTCATTGTATAAAATATTCAACTTTATATGCCCACTGTGATTAAATTAATCACGATAGTGCCACCACTTTTTGAATGGGCCCACCGACAGTTAAGGCGTTAAATCCGCATGACGGTATCCACGTGTTTGATTATAGTCAAAGCACAAGGGTAGTTTAGTCATTACAAGGAATTAGATCATTCTACCGTTAATTATTTTTGTTTTATTGGATTTGGAGACGAAAGGACAACAGTTTCTTGTTTTTCAATTCGTTTATAAGATTTATTGTGTATGAATATTTTAAAAACTAAGCACTTTGGGGAGAGATAACAACGCTTTGAGCGACTCGGTTCTCAAAAGGAGAGTCCGGCTCAACCTATGATCGCATGTCATACTAGGCTAAGGCAAGCCACTCGTGAGCCATTTTTGTTTAATTTGAGATTTTGATTTTTTATTTTCTTGCTTTTCAATGATATAAAGAAGTAGCCAGCTTGCAAGCCAGACCCAATGAACTAACTTGATCGAGCTTGAGCAATCTCAAGCTCGACTTGGGCATGGTCATGCAAGCTTGCGAGCCCATGGCAAGCTAATCTATTTTTCACGTATTCGTTATGCAGTATTCTAAAGGTGAAAAATAATTAAACTAGAATTTATGACAATGCCTTTGAATAAATTGACGTGTCACGCCAATTACGTGAAAGATTTACTGTAGTATAACTACTAATAAATAATTTTTATCTATTTAGAATATGACTAATGAGGGATTAATGTAATTTCAAACTAAGGCTTTGTTTATCTATTATTATACAACATTATTATTTTTTCTACAGTACTCATTTTCAATCACACATTTTTCATTAAAATAATATTATACGTAAATCAAAAAAATTTCTTTTTTTTAACCACACATTTCAACATCAATCACTATTCCATAATGAAAAATTCTACTTGTACCTAATTATTGCACATAATGATGTTCATAATATGATGTGGCAATCATTTGGTTGTTGATGTGCAAATGTGAGATTTGAATTAAAGTTTGGATCCAATGTTACGTGTAATTATTGACATCATTGTATAAACAATTATGTATATGTAGAACTTCCCTTCCATAATACATTATTCACAAAAAATGATGCACAAACACCCACTAAATTAAAATCCAACAATCTAATTGAATTATAATTAAATTTTAATGACCAAGTCTCGACAAATTAAACATTTTCTAAAACTTGAGTTACCTTAGATTGAAGTGTGAAAATGTAGGGGGATTTCATTGACCACGTATTTTCTTTCTTCGTAAATAGTAATCTATTTTTGACTGAGTGATTAACGCTGTCGAATTGGTGTTCTTCCATTAACCCCTAACAAATGTGAACGGAAATGTTAAAACGTTGACAATGACACTACTACGGAACGTCCACCAACTCTTTTTAATAAATAATGCTATTTGTACAATTCGGTGTACACTCCCCTCACAAGAGCCGAGACCCACATCCAATAAAAAAAATGCATGGACCCTTCTCTTGTGAGAGGGAATGTACGTGTAGCAAAACTCCGTTTTAATGGCATCTCTCTCTCACACACATGCATAATGATTAATTTAAAAATACACATATATGCAATTTCTATTCTTTTTTCTTTAAAACATAATTCAAATAAATAATTTATTTTGGTACATAAATTCACTCATCTTCTGTTGGAAAATTTGTGATTCAAAGACGAACATTACTGACTTCAAGTAATTGGTTGGAGTTGATATATGGTGTATCCATTCTATATTAAATGTACCTATGACGTATTGTTTCCTCGCTATTTATTATTCACTCCATCATAAAAATAGATTTGCTTTTCATTTTCCATATGTCCCAAATTATACGGCACTTTTCTTGTTAACAGTATAGTTGATTTTTAAATTTTTTTATAAACCCCTATTTATGTGCTTTGTTATCAACAATTATGAATTTTTCATATTTAAACCATTATTTCGAAATTGCTCTATTATCCATAGTGAGCACTACACAATGTTAATTTGGCAAGAGAACCTTACTTATGGTTCTCTCCAAAGCAGGTAAAATAAAACTTCCCACCGTGAACAGGAAGAACATGAGTGATCATTATTTAATTTACGCTTACATTAGGAAAAATGTAAGCAAAATATATATATTTCCAACTACATTAATTACATTTTCTTATTTTATGTGAAAATGAAAGCAAGTTTATCTTTATGAAATGAAAGTAGTGTGCGAATAATGTTATCCAACACAAGTATAAGTGTCTACATATCATAGGTTATATTAAGAGTGTGTTTGATTGACATGAAAAATATTACCTAGAAAAGAAAATGTTTTCCATCTTTTGTGGAAAATAAAAACCACCTCTACCCAAAGAAAATATTTTCCTTAAAAATAAGGAAAATTAGACATATTTTCAAAAGTTAGAAAATGTTTTCCATGAAAAAAAAAATAGCAATCAAACACTCAAAGTAGGAATTTGGGTGGAAAATTGATATTTTCCATGGAAAATAAATGTAATCAAACACACCATAAATGATTTGTAACTATTTGTATTAATTGATCCTATAACTTAATGTAAATAGTAATATTGACGTTCATCTTGTATCGAAATTGAAAGACTTGAGACATAAAGACTAAAAACATCTTTTTAGAAATCCATATATAATATTTTCAAAATATTTGGAGATCGTGACCACAAATCCAACCCCCCCCCCCCCCCCCCCCCCCAACTACAAATGCTCGTCCGATGCCTGGAAATTGAAAACACACACACACACAAAAAAAAGGGAAAAAAATCTGCACTCTAGATTAAGGTACTTATACTATACAAAATAAGTTACCCAGAAAAAAAAAAAAAAAAAAAAAAAAATTAGAAAATGGACTCTTCAACTTTTCACGTGGTTTAATTATGGATCTCGATCTTAGAAAATGAAAACCTGGCCTCCAAATTAATATTATCCTGTTCTTGCTCGAACTCACATAAAAGACGTGAGACGTGCAATTTCAATGTCCATATTGACTCCTTAAATTTTAGGCCACCACACACTAATAGTATAATTTATGGAATCAAATGGGCGACTCCTCAATTTCTTATTCAATTATTTGGTTTAGATCAATTTACATTCGTAAAAGACAAGTAATAGATCTTTATGATGGGATTTGTTGCATTTCTAAAAGAAATAAATTCAAGTACCAAACTTGATGAGTTTGTGGACCATAAACTCAATATATAAATAATAAGTGAACCATTTCACGAATACATCAAATTCATAGTCATAAATAATGGGACTTAACCAAGCTTTGTATCTAAGCGAGTATGTGAAGATACGAAGGAATGAGTTGAAATTCTTTGTTCTCGTTATGATTTTCATCAACTTTCGTTAACAAATAAAATGTCTAAAAAGTAATGTTATTAGTAATTTATTATGTCGTCTTCTCATTTACTAATTAAGCCCCCGTTTGGCTTTCATTCTTCTTCTCATTCTTTTTCTCTCTTATTTTCAATTACATAATCTTCCATAAAATAATATTATACGCAAATAAATGTTTTTTATTCTTTTTCAACCATACATTTTTCCAAAAAAATACTATTCCAACATTAAAATTTGGAAAGGATGAGGACCAAACAGGCATTTCAATGTCCATATTGACTCCTTAAATTTTAGGTCACCACACACTAATAGTATAATTTATGGAATCAAATGGGCGACTCCTCAATTTATTATTCAATTATTTGGTTTAGTTCAATTTACATTCGTAAAAGACAAGTAATAGATCTTTATGATGGGATTTGTTGCATTTCTAAAAGAAATAAATTCAAGTACCAAACTTGATGAGTTTGTGGACCATAAACTCAATATATAAATAATAAGTGGACCATTTCACGAATACATCAAATTCATAGTCATAAATAATGGGACTTAACCAAGCTTTGTATCTAAGCAAGTATGTGAAGATACGAAGGAATGAGTTGAAATTCTTTGTTCTCGTTATGATTTTCATCAACTTTCGTTAACAAATAAAATGTCTAAAAAGTAATGTTATTAGTAATTTATTATGTCGTCTTCTCATTTACTAATTAAGCCCCCGTTTGGCTTTCATTCTTCTTCTAATTCTTTTTCTCTCTTATTTTCGATTACATAATCTTCCATAAAATAATATTACACGCAAATAAATTTTTTTTTATTCTTTTTCAACCATACATTTTTCCAAAAAAATACTATTCCAACATTAAAATTTGGAAAGGATGAGGACCAAACAGGGGCTAAGATTAATCTAATAATATATAAAAGTATAGTGAGGAGATAGTCAAATGAGAAAAACTCATCTCAACTCTAAAGATACACTCCTTGAATACAAATCTCATAATTTATATTCAACTTGGAAGATGCATTCCATTAGCAAAATCGGTTTATTTCATTTTTGGTCAATGAACTTCCAGTGAAATGTCAGTTAAGTCACACAAGTTTAATTTATCGCAATAAAATAACTGAACGTCTATTTATATTAAAATCAGCAACTTTGTTAGCCCCTTTACTAACTTAACGCCTCAATCCTCTGTTGGCCCCTGTCACTTGGTAATTATGCCATATAATTATGTAGCGATAGCAAAATCATGAAATTTGGGGACGAATGCAACTAAGAGTATGCTTTATTAAATGAACTACCGCAAATTTTTAATTATGATTTATTTTTAAATTTTACAGCCACGACATGTTTAGGTATCACATATTACTTGAAAACATAAGAGATATCATATTGAAGTCAATTTTTAAAGTTCACATAGGAGTATGACGTAAGTTTAGTAACATTTTCTAACAAACTAACGATGAATATAAATTGAAGCCCGATCAATTGATTGAGACAAAGTAAAGCTGGATGCCCGAACTAAGATTTTACTGAGAGTTCAATAACCAAAAATGAAATAAAACCACCCAAGGATAGATAAAATTAGAGGA